AATATATATATATATATATATATATATATATATATATATATATATATATATATATATATATATATATATATATATATATATATATATTTGAGGGCCCATTGGGCCGGCCCATTTAGGTATATCATTAAGCCCCCCAACTCTCAATTCGAGATGGGGACGTGTGTAGAGGGATCCGGGTCGTGTCGAGAGTTAATTGCGGCTGTGAATGAATTCCTTAATTTAAATATGGGATAATTGTATTTATTTGGCAGCGAGGAATATATTTAAGGGTTTTAAATATTTTACCAGGGCAAGATAAATAGACTCCTTTTGCGGTGGAAAGAATTAAACTTCAACTCTTGCAATAAATATGGGTATGTTCTTTGAACTCTAGGTCTTCTTCTGTGCTATTCTTCTCTTGAAATTTTTTTTGTGGTAGAGTAGAAATTTTTTGTTTCTTGATTGTTTCGTCGGAGAAAATTATTTTTCATGTCGAACCCGGGTAAGTCGAAGTCTTTACGAATTAAACTTCGAGATCCGGTTGAAGGGGGTGAGAAAACTTTTGGTACGGTGGGTATGGAACGCAAGAAGGTAGTAGTATCGGGTGCGGAAATCGGACCGTCGTCGGCTATAACCCCGAATGAGGTGGAGAGGGGGGTAGTTGGCCGGGTGGCTGGAGCCGTGGGCTTGAGCCGCGCCGCTGGCCTTCTGGATGTGTGTATTGGCGTGCTCCCCGAGGAACCTCCAGAGCCGAGCCGAGCTGCAGAGTCGGAGGCTGGATCGGAGTCCGAGGCAAGGAGAGAGAAGGATGGTGTAGGGCCTCGTGTGCAGGGCGCGTTGAGCGGGATTCCACGCGCGCGTCTGATTGGTGCGTGCGTGGACGCGCGCGCTAGGAGGGGAATGGGGTCGGTGGCTGACGCGCGCGCTGCCCAATAAGGGAGCGCGTGTGCGCGCGTCGCAGGGAGGGGAGGGCAGGCCGGCTGACGCGCGTGTGCGCGCGTCGCAAGTAGAGGAGGGGGCGCGTGAACGTGCTGTTGCTGTTGGTGTTTGCGCGCGTGGGAGGTCGTCGCTGGATGCGACGCGCGCGCGTGAGAGCGCGTTAGGGTCCCTTTTTCAGCGCGGTTCGCGCGAGCGGGTCGGGCAAAATGAGGAGCGAATCGATGTCAAAGATAGTGTAAATGTTCGGAGTTCCGTGAGGCGAAAAATCATTGAATCTTGGAGTGACGATGTAGAAACGAGTATTCACGTTAGTGAGCAAGTAGATGGAGTTGTGGCTAGTAGGCGTTATTCTCGACGCCAAATCGTGGATTTTGGGAGCGATAGTGACGATTCTAATCAAGCCCCTGTGGCGAGTGATTATGCTGTGCCAAGTACTGAAGTTGAGCCGACGGATGAAGAGGGGGAGGAAGATGATATTCCGCCGGGTGATGTTGAGGTTGATACGAGGAGGCAAAAGAAAAAGAAGCCAATTAATTTGGACTTAGTTAATTTTGATAGTGTGTTGACGGAATAGCACTTGCACTCTATTCGTCGTTTATCTGGAGCGCCAAGTAATGTCGAGTTGTTGTTGCCTCAGAAGGGCGACCGTTTGTACTCGCCACCCGATGGGTTTCATACGGTATTTTTGACGTACTTGACGTGTACATCTCAGATTACACCGCATCCGACCTTGTTGAAGGTTTGTGAGGAATTCAAGATAGGGTACAGTCAGTTAACTCCGACTGCAATTCTTATGTTCGAGGCGTTTCACCATAGGGTGTCTCTAGTGGGTTTGCCTGTGACTGTGAGTTTGTTCAAGGCGTTATTTACGCTACATCGGCCCAATAAAGGGCCTTTCTTTTGTTTTCATCCTCGCGTTCCCTATCAATTTGTGAAGAGTGTGAAGTTATCTTTGGGGGAATGGAAGACCCATTTTTTTTATGTGAAGGCTCCCACTTTCGACGTCCCCGTAGTTTGGAACCCTACGTGCGAGAGTTTCAAGATAACTGCGAATATGGTGAAGAGGATAGAAGAATCTAGGTTGTGTGATGTGGAATTTGACCCGAGGGTTTTGATTCCAAAGGCGAAGGGTCACCACCGTATATCCTTTGAGTGATTGATTTTTTCGCTTTTTTTTTTTTTTTTGTAGTTCTTTGGATGTTATACCCCATGTCTCTTATGTGTTTGTTATCTTTTGTAGATGGGGGTATCACCTTTGCGGCACTTCGAGCTAAGGCGAATGGGACGTCGAAGAAGGCATCGAAGAAGGTTCCCGCTCCGCTGGGAGGTTCTTCGGGCGGTTTGCCTCGTGAGACGGTCCATGTAGAAACTCCTCGAGTGATTGAAGATGACCGTAGCAGTGCTGGTGAAGTGGAGTGGCGTCCGCTTACGAGAGATCGTGGCAAGGGAAAAATGGTGGATTCTGAGTATGTGGCCATACCTAAGCGTCCACGGGTAGAGCCCGAGGAGACCTATGCTTTCCATGGTGGGGCGGGGAAACAGTTGTTTACCTATGGCGTGAATCGCGAAGGTAAGGAGTCGTATTGGGATGTGTCGGACCATGATCTACCGATGTTGAGTACCGAGGGGTTCGTTCGGGAGTATGACCGTGCTCGTATGTCAGTTAAGGGCCCTTCTCATATGTTGGAGTTAGCTGGTGGGGACCTTTGCCGGGTGAGTACTTGTTTATTTAAAACAAGATTTTTTGTTTACTTCCTCTCTTTTTTGTGTTAAGAATTATTTCTATTTTTTTTTTTTTAGTTAGTATCGACTTGGAGATATCTCATGGAGCACGGTAGGAACGTAGAAGCTAGGAAAGAAGAAGAGCGGGCTCGAAGTCAGGCGCGTGAGGACGAACTTCTAATCCAATTGGAGATAGCGCGGTCCGATCTTTCTCACCGGTCGGAAGAACTTGCCCAGAGGACAGAGGAGCTTGCTCAGAGGACAGAGGAGCTCGAGGTTGTCCGAGGTGATGCGAAGACATATAGGGATGATGTTCATAAGTTGAACGAGTGCTATGACCAGCTGAAGGAGAAATACGAAGTTGAGAAGGCGACGGGGAAGAGGTTCCTCGCGACGTTAGGTGGTGCGGCTTATAGGGAGTCCATCGGGGAGGAAACCAAGCTTAGCTTCCGAGGTAGTGATGAGTGTGCTGCTATGATTGCGGAGCATGCTTTGCCTGTGGTTTATAAGCCATTAGTTCGTGCTTGTCACAAATATCTTCGTGATGCGGGTGGTATCAGTGAGAAGGTTATTCGCGGGATGGAAGCTGGTATATCCGATGAAGAGGAGGATGAAGTCGATGTCAACGGAACGGGCACAGAGCTCGTGGATGACATGGTTGCTGATGATCCCTCTGTGGGAGCGTCTTCCGCCCGTGATGGGGGAGTTTAGATATTTTTGCTAGGATAGTTAGACTTCTTTTTTATATATTATTGGTATGGATTTCTTAATTTATCTTTATCGCTGATGTAGATGGGTATGTCCACTACTGTTTCGTTTGAATTTCTTCCTTGTTTGACATTTGAAGTTTTGATATTTAGTTATTTCTTTTGACATTGTCAAGATTTTTTGGGTCTCTTATGCGTATTAACATTTAGCATTGTACGCGATATACTTGAGGAGGGGATCAGTCTCCCAAGGTTTTTGTTAAGGGTCGTGCCCTTTGTTTGGACCACTTGGGTCTAAAATATATTTGTCCGTGGCCACGTTTTAAAAGTAGCACCTCGTGAAACAGCTAAAGGGACTTAGATAATCCAGCTGGCGAGGCTATACGGATTATCTAAATCTCTCTAAGTGTTTGTAGGGTGGTATTGAATTGAACTCATGGTAAGAGGTAATTTGTATAGATGTAAAGGCGCAGATATTAAAGCGAAAAGTATGATTTATTCAATGATAGCAAAGGAGAATTGTTACAGGCCTATGTGAGGCGAATATAAGTAAATAAGTAATGCGATAGGCCTACGCGAGGCGAAGGTAAGTAACTATTGCTAAAGCAAATAAATTGACTTGATAAAAAATTCTTCTGAGTGATTGTACTACACTTGTTCTTCTTCCACGTCGTCCTTGTGCTCGTTCGTTTTGCTGTGCTGATGGTAGGCTGAATTCCTTTGGCGTCTCTATGCCTGTCAGGTATAATTGAGGAAAAAGGAATTTTGTTTAAGCATTTGTATCGAAGACTTAGTAATTGAAGCTGGGGTGATGTGCACTGCAAATTCACGTACCCTAATACGGGGATGGTTTTTCTTCCTCGCACTTCGAGATATGAAATCAACTCGTGAGTTGCTATGATTTGATGTGTGATCGTGCCTGTTAGATGGAATGATTTTGTCACGTTAGTAAGAGTAAACAAGAGCATGCGTGTGTTGTAGTCTAGTGGAAGTATTGTTACCCTTGGCGATGTGGTATGGGGTGTCTTCGCTCTTTGGGCCATTGATTGAGCAATATGCATCCTCTCGTAATTGACTCTCACTCTGTAATAAGATGGTGAGATGTGAATACGAATTGCTGATGTAAGTAAATTTACTAGCCCCCCAGTTTAGGTAGGACGTTCACGCACCTCGTTATGTAGTAGAAAGTTTCCAAAGCATGTAGAGACGGTTTTGCGAGACGAGTGACGTGGAAGACCGCGGAGCCTGCATGGGTAATATTTTGTAAGTAATTTTCATATAGGGGGGTATAGGTGGTGACTTCACCGGATCTTAATTTAGGTAGATGTATACCTTAAGCGTATAACCGTTTGAGGTTCCCTATATGCCACGTTCTGGGTATAGGGCGTCCGTCATTGGTCTCGAGGCGATATGCTCCAGTGTTGACCACTTTGGTGATTTTATATGGTCCTTCCCACTTTGGATCGAGTTTTCCGATGGGGTGAGAAGCTTCGAATTTTCGGAGGACTAAATCTCCAACTTGAAAGGATCGAGGGCGGACCTTTGAGTTATAGGCCTTGGCCATGCGTGATTTATACATCTGTTGTCGGATGTATGCAATCTCACGTCGCTCATCTACGAGGTATAGGCTTCCCCGCATAGCTTCTTCATTAGCTACTGGATCATAGTTGGTGATTCGCCAAGATGGTTCTCCGATTTCGACGGGTGCGATAGCCTCTGTTCTGAAAGCTAGATTGAAGGGCGACTCTCCGGTTGCTGCTCGTGGGGTTGTGCGATAAGCCCATAGTGCGTTAGGCAATTCTTCCACCCACTTCCCTTTGGCACTTCCAAGCCTTGTTTTAAGGTGTTGGAGTATGGTGCGATTCGTGACCTCCGTCTGGCCGTTAGCTTGTGGATTGGCTACGGATGTCAAGAATTGTTTGATGTCCAAGCCGAGGCACCAATTCTTTACTTTGTCACCACAAAATTGGGTTCCGTTATCTTAGATAATGGAACGTGGGATCCCAAAGCAACACACTATGTTCTTCCATACGAATTGGATGACTTCTTCTTCTCGGATGCGTGCTAAGGGTTCCGCCTCCACCCATTTGGTGAAGTAATCCACTGCTACAATGAGGTATTTGCATCCTCCTGTGGCGGGCGGGAATGGTCCAACTAAATCCATTCCCCATTGGGCGAAAGGGATGGGGCTGTCAATTGGTTGCATTAATGCTGCTGGCAGGTGAGGAATATTGGCATGCTCTTGGCAAGGCTTACACCTCCGGACTAATCTTTTCGCGTCTTCATGCATCGTTGGCCAATAGTAGCCTTGCCTCAGTAGTTTGAGAGCTAAGGTTCCCCCGCTCAAGTGATTGCCGCAGATGCCTTCGTGTACTTCTCTAAGTACGTAATCCGCTGTGGTCGGGTCGAGGCACTTGAGATAGGGGAATGAGAACCCTCGTTTGTATAATTCTTCTCCCACTATGACGAAGCGAGCGGCTCTCGTCTTTAACTTTCGTGCTTCGGTGGGATCCGTTGGAAGTTCTCCCTTCTTGAGATACTTCAGGATTTGAGTGAACCAGCATGGTTCGTCCTCCTCGGTGTACTGTACTTCAGTGGGTGAAGTTATCTCCGGTTGAGGTGAGGTGAGGAGTGTCACCTTCCGACTTCCGATGCTAGCCATGGAACTTCCAAGCCTAGCTAATTTGTCAGCGTGGACGTTATTGGAGCGAGGTACTTGTCTTATCTCGTAGCTCTCGAATTTAGATAAGAGAGTGTGCGCGAGAGCTAAGTATTTGGCCATGGTGTCTTCTTTAGCCTCGTAAGCTCCGAGTACTTGGTTGACGATGAGCTGAGAGTCACTTTGGATTAGGAGCTTACGGGCTCCGGCAGCTAGGGCGAGGCATATTCCGGCTATTAGTGCTTCATACTCAGCGACGTTGTTCGAGGCTGTGAATTCGAAGCGTTGAGCATACTCGAATTTGTCTCCGTCGGGTTTCGTTAATACGATGCCCGCTCCACCTCTTATGGCAGTGGAAGATCCATCGACGCTGACGGACCAAGTAGGTAGAGAGGTGATTTCTTCTACTAAGGTCATTTCGACTAGAAAGTCAGCCAATACTTGCGCTTTGATAGCTGGGCGGGGTTTGAATTCCACTCCATATTCACTTAGCTCTATCGCCCATTTTGCTAATCGCCCGGATGTTTCGGGACTCCTTAGTATTTGCTTCAGTGGATAATTGGTGAGAACCACCACTTGATGTGACTAGAAGTAAGGTCGAAGCTTCCGGGCTGCGTTGATGAGGGCGAGAGCGAGCTTCTCCATATTGGTATAGCGTTGCTCGGCTCCTTGAAGAACGCGACTTATGTAGTATATGGGTTGGTGACCTTTTCCTACATCTCGGATGAGGACTGCGCTGATGGCATCGGCTGAGATAGCTAAGTATAGTAGGAGGGTGTCTCCGGGCTGAGGTTTTGTGAGCAGGGGTGGGGATGCGAGATATGACTTCAGCTCAAGGAATGCTTTTTGACATGCATCATCCTACTCAAATTTATTTCCTCCCCTTAAAATCTTGAAAAAGGGGAGGGCCTTGTCTGCGGATCTAGAAATGAATCTATTCAAAGACGCCAAACATCCGTTAAGCTGTTGGACTTTCTTGATAGATGTTGGTGGAGGCATGGAGGTGATTGCTTCGATTTTTGCCGGATTAGCTTCGATTCACCGCTGCAAAATCATGTATCCCAAAAATTTGCCACCCCGAACTCCGAATGAACATTTATGGGGGTTGAGTTTCATTTTATATTTTCGCAGGGTGGCGAAACACTGATCCAAATCGGTCAAGTGATCCGAGACCTTTACACTTTTGACGAGCATGTCGTCGATGTACACCTCCATATTCTTACCGATCTGATCTGCGAACATTGCGTTCACTAGACGCTGGTAGGTGGCTCCTGCGTTTTTTAACCCGAAAGGAATGACTTGATAGCAGTAGATGCCTTGGTCAGTGATGAAACTAGCCCTCTCTTGATCTTCTGGTGCAAGTAAGATCTGGTTGTATCCTTGGTATGCATCGAGGAAGCTGAGGAGTTCGCACCCCGAGGTCGAATCAATGAGCTGATCGATTTTGGGTAGAGGAAATGGGTCCTTAGGACAGGCTTTGTTGAGGTCAGTGAAGTCTACGCATAATCTCCACTTGCCACCCGGCTTGGGAACGAGTACTATGTTCGACAGCCATTCAGGATACTGAACTGGTAGTATGTGGCCCGCTTCAAGGAGTTTTGTCACTTCCGCTTTGATATGTTTGTTGCGTTCGGGACCAAATGTCCGTTTCCTTTGTTTGACTGGCTTCAACCTCTTGTCGACGTTGAGCCGATGTAGAGCTACCTGAGGAGGAATGCCCGACAAATCTTGGGCTTTCCATGCGAACACATCTCCATTGTGTCGCAGGAAGTTGATTAGATGCTGCTCTGTGGTTGGATCTAAATCAGATCCTATTCGTATGAACTTGGAAGTATCTCCTGGAGTGACCTCTATGAGCTTAAGCTCTTCGACGGCTGCTAGCTTGATGCTGTCATTTGGTACACTGATGAGGATTTCTTTATTATCCTCAATGATCGCGTTGACCCACTTTCGTTTGTCGGATTTTTGGGTGTCGTCTCCCCTTCTGGGTGGTTTAGGCTTCTTGGAAGGTTCTCGTAGGGCCCTTGCATAGCACTCTCGGGCGAGACGTCTATCTCCAAGTACTTCCCCCATTCCATAGGGAGTAGGGAACTTCCACTTCTGATGGTAGGAGGAAGGCACTGATTTGAATGTATGGATTACTGGCCTCCCTAGAATGATGTTGTAGGGGGATGGCTTGTCGACGACGAGGAATTTGATTAGTTTTGTGATTCGACAAGGGTCTTCCCCTAGAGAAACGGGCAGCTCAACTTCTCCTATGGACAAAATGCCTTCTCCTGTGAATCCTTTCAGGGGTGTGGAGATGGGATTAAACCGGGCATTATCTATGCCCAGCTGCTTAAAAGCGTGGAGGTACATGATGTCAGCTGAGCTCCCACCGTCCACTAATATCTTCTTGACCAAGAAGTTGGCCACCGTTGTTGTTACTACCAACGCATCGACATGATCTTCATCAGGACCTTCAAGGTCGGAGGATTTGAAGACTATGCTATGATCAGGTCTTCGTATTTGATAGATGCGTGCGGATGGAGAAGCACGTTCTTGATTCATGCGTGCTGATCGAGCGAGGGTGCGTCTTGCTTTTTGTGAATCGCCACCCGCCGGTCCTTCGGAGATAAAGGAGATGATTCCCCGGGTAGGTTGGTTATCGTTGTTATCTGGGTCACGTCGATGACCTCCATCCTCTCGCCTTCGCTCTTGATCTCGATTATTATCTCGGCGTGGAGGATCATCATGGCGCTTATTTCGAGGCTTATCAATGTATTCGCCTAAATGGCCCTGTTTGATCAGCCTCTCAACCGCCACTTTGAGTTGTGCACATTCCTCCGTAGTATGCCCTCTGTCCTTATGGAATCGACAATAACGATCCGACTTTTCTCGCTTTGCATTTGGCTGCATAGGACGTGGAGGCTCTGCTAAACCTTTCTGTTCTATCACTTGAAGGATTTCAGGGAGGCGAGCATTTAGCGGAGTGAACCTATTGTAGGAGGAAGAGGGTTGGCCTTGAGGTGGAAGCGGTGGACGTCGATCATCGCGCCTCCTATTGTCCAGACGGTCATCTTCCATTTTCCTTTTAGGAGGAGCATGGGTAGAGGCTTCCTCTATCCGGACGTATTTTTCGGCTCGATTCAGCAACTCCTCTAGGTTGCCTGGGGGTCTTCCGGCAATAGATTCCTTGAATCTACCCGGTTTCAAGTTCTGCTGCATAATCCCGGAGAGCATGTCTTGCCCTACACTGGGGACTTTATGGATGGCTTCTACAAAACGCTTAATGTAGTTGCGGAGTGTTTCGTTATCTCTCTGTACTACAGAGAAAAGATTAGCTGGGGTCTTGGCATATTGTTTGTTGATGGCGAATTGGTTGGTGAACCGGGTTGACAACCGAGCGAAGGTGTCAATCGACCCTATGGGTAGAGAGTTGAACCAATTCATTGCCCTCTTGGAGAGAGTGATGCGGAACATTTTGCACATCGCAGCATCCGTCGGGCCATATAAATCCGCCATGGCACTGAATTTCTCTATATGCTCCTGTGGGTCGGTGGTCCCTTCAAATTGAGGTAACCCAGAGATCTTTACTCCTTGAGATAATACCTCGTTGAGAAAGTCTATGGTGAAGGGACTGCGTCTTGTTGGGACAGGCATTATTTCACCCATTAGATTATTTGGTTGGGGGAAAAGATTTTGGCGAGACATTCTGCTGTTTACCTCGCCTTCTCCCTCATTAAAGAGAGGGACTCTCTGTGGTGACGCATTCCCCCGTAGGGGTGAGCGCCGACGCTGCTGTCTGGGTTGTGCCCCTCTGTGATTAGTAGATAGCTGCACTCGGGACCGTGGGTCCGAGGTAGAGGAGGAGACACTTATTTGATTCTGGATTGGCGGTGGGGCCACAGGTGGCGCTATAGGTGGAGCTGGCGCTGGTATCGCATTGGGAGCGTTTGCTCC